ACAGGACCTCTAAAGAGTGGGGCTTGTTTGCTGGGAGAGATTATTTCGTCGTTTGTTGGAGAGATGAGACATTTTCCCCGCGGGTATTCTATTTACACATGTGCTACTTGCCCCTCCCCACCTCCCTACCTCGCATCGACAGCTCTATGCGGAGGGAGGCTTTCGGGGAGGAGCCGTCTCCCGAACCTTCCTGAAAAAGGGAAGTGGACGTACGGACTCACCAAAACTCCCAATTAATGATGTGCCGTGATTGCAGCTAGTCGTTCAGCAAGCCAAGAACGAGTTACGAGGGCCAAACGACAGTAAGTAGAATTATTAGCCAGCTAGACAGCTGAAGAGAATAGCGGAGAGCCGTGGGTGGTGGTTGAATTACACAAGAAAAGACCACGCATGGAAAATGTGTGAGTGTCGAGGATCTGTCATTGGTCGTCTACAGCATCCACCAATCAGAGCCATTTCTTGCACACATCATCTATTTGACGAAATGAAAAGCTTCGAATCAAAATAGACTGTCAGCTAGTCGCAACTATGCGAATGCACGAAACCTTGTCTGTGGCGCATCCATAAGAAATTGATCGGGCCCAGGATGAATAAAGGATAAAGTCTTCGCCGTTGATCAATCCCTTTGTGGGATGCGGCACGCATTCTACTTCCATTCAGAATCGTAGTGGCTTATTGAATGCGATGTGGCCTACCTATTCAATGACTTGCGGGGGCCCGCCAATAGAGAAGTCAGTATTCTTATCTTCCCAGGCAAATCTGGTACCGATTTAAGGTAGGTAGTGGGCATGGTTGGCCTGGGTGGGAGTCAAAGACGAGAATCGGCCCGCGAGAATCGGCTCGAGTCTTGTCACTACACCTCCTCCGATTCGATCGGACTTCATGAGCACAAACTGCTTAGCTCGAGGTCATACTTTTCGTGAGTTCTAATCCTACTACAGGAGAATATTAAGTAGACTGGATAGGAGGAGAGATGTAGGGAGGGCGAAGCTGCTGTGAAAAGCGTTCTCTTCTCATAAAGAGTCCTTAACTAATGTCTGCTTGAATATATGTGTTGATTCTCAGCGCGTGTAGTCACCAATCACTCCGCAGGTATACTCGAGATCCCTGAGATCGGGTAGGCGGGGCTGCATTCTTCAACTTAACCTGAAGGTGTCTATGCTTCTGGTGGAATATTTCCATCTTGACACAACTGTTGTCGTGTCTCTGTCCAACACAGAACAAGATGACAGTTGTCCCAGACTGGAATATTCCACGAGTAACCAGTTCCGTGCCATGTTCAAATGCCACGCCTACTCTGGCTCAGGGATAAGGAGTGTACACGCTCAGATGGAGCAGTGTATGAAATATGGAAATCTAATATAGGAGAAGAACGTCCATCGTGGCCAAGGAAACGTTTATCAATAATGTTGGATGTCCCATGTCATCCTTGGAGGAGTCCAGAACGTCAAAATTACGAGCCCCAATAAAGACTCTGAATTCCAGTACACAAGTCCTATCATTAATGGCCGACTTCGCCTCACGGCTACGCTGATCAAGGCTCTAAATAAGGCGGAAAAGGCGAAACGAAAAAAGATAAAGTCGAGTAACAATCTTGGAAAGGCTCTCAGCAGCACCTTATAAAGAGATGCCACGAAGGCGGAGATTATCAGTTGGCTGAAGAACAAATGAATCATCTGCTTGCTACGTCACGTGGGTGATGAAAGTTGGACTTTTCATAGGCTAACGGCAGCAAGGCCACCACCAAAGATCACCACAGGCTCGTGAGGGGTTCACGACTTTGGAAATGACGCCAAAATTTGCTTCACAAAAAAGAAGTTGAAATGTGTTGGTGATATAGATCGGAAGGTTGCGAAAAGTTGCTGTTATCTTATCAGTTTTGTCATCCCTTTTAAACCATTCCAGGGTACCCAGGGGTGAGAATGGCCACAAAAGATTAGGGATGATGACAATTGCGCCTTTGGCAAAGCCTGACAGAACAAAGGATCCTCTGGCACATAGATATCATCACTCTACACCTTTTGCCGTACCCGGGACAGAATGGTTTACTTTTGGCTCGCTGAGCAACTCGTCCTGAAGGGAACAAGGAAGCTCGCACGGAATGCAATTATTTCAAAGGGATGTTAGGGTGAATGTGAAGGTACTGCACCCCTTTTCATGGGGAAGAAAAGAGGTGAAGGCTGGAGTTCTTCGTGGTATCTCTGGAATACGCCACGCACTTCACTTCAGCTCTCAAATGTAGTTTCTACTCATAAAGTGATTTGTGAGGGCCACCTGCTCACCGTCCTCATTTGTGGACCACTCCACAAATGAGTGTGTAGAGCGTGAAACAACCGCTCGAACGTTTATCAGAATAAGGAGAATTGAACAAAGTCTGCAGTCCACGCTCTCTGGGCGGAGTAGGAGCTTCAATTGTGCCTTCCTCCTTGGCAAAACCTCTCCTCTTCCTTGAAAACTACGCACAAAAGATAAAGGCACAATGAGAGGTCGAACCCCACCTTTACGATCATCGTGGAATGTATAGAACAACGAAGCACAAATTTCGTTATAAGAAAGACATAGAGGTCCGATGAAATAGCTGGACTCACAGCTTAGCAAGAGCTCTTTACCGGGGCCTCTTTTCACGAGAACAGGCTTCTCGTGGACAAAATTGTCAAAAAATCCCGTTCAGGCGACCCATACCGCTGTTGCCGAGACCGCCGACAGGTAGAGTGCTCACGGTTAATGGTTTTGAGAGGAGAATGTGCGCACTTTTCCTAGTTTCTTGTGGTAGTTTCTGTCGAAGTAGACACGTCACACCTTGTGAGCGCCTATAGACTCTTCTCAAAACAAAGTTCAGCTACCAGAGAACGATTTTCGTGACGTGGCACACACGTACTACCTGACACGCCCCTTCATCCGTAGCGAACTAGAGTACACACACTTATCCCACTCTCATGAAGGGCAAAGCTTCCGCCGGTGATCAGTCCCTTTCGGTTCGCGTCGCACATTCTACTTCCACCGGGGGTCGTACCGGCCTAATGATTTGCAAGGGCCTGCCGATGTACAAGTCAGTGTTCCTATCCTCCCTGACAGATCTGTTACCAATTTATCGTCCCGGAGGATAGAAATCTTGCGTGGTGGGGGCGAGAGACGATACGGTACTTGTCGCACGTACAGTGCTCGCGGTAAGCGCGCCACTCATACATTCACTCGAAATCCCTGAGATCGGATAGGTGGCGCTGCACACTTATGTTTGAAGTGCGGCGGCCCAGGTTTTCGTGAGATATTTTCATTTTGGAACAGTTCTGGTACTTCTGGGAGGGCGACACAGTTTGCTGTGTCGCCCTTCCAGAAGTTCTGATACCATTTACCGGCCCCGGAGGGACGCAAGGCTTGGTTGGCCCGAAGCCATTGCACTCACTGCTTTTACCCCATATGCTTTTATCCTCTGTGTAATGCCTACAAATTTCTGTCCAGTGCGAGCAAGAACTATTAGAATGTTTATCAGATTTAGGAGAAACAAGGAAAGACCGCACCTCACTCATGGGCTACAATCCACGTTGGACGTCTGGGCGGAATCAGTCCTGTCATTGTGCCTCCCTCTTTGGCGAAGTGCTCCCTTTTACCTCGAGAATGACCAAAAGAAGAAGGCACAAAGGCAGGCCGAACTCCACCTTTCCGATCAAAGTGGAATGTGCCCAGAACAACGCATAAATGAAAATTTCAAACAAATACATGCAAATCTGAAACAGCTGAAATCACAGGCTAGCGAAGACTTCCTTCCCGAGGCCATTTCTCACAAGAATCGGCTTCTCGTGGACGTAGTTGTCGAACCCGTATTTACCGTTTAGTCGACCCATACCACTGTTGCCTATACCACCGGCAGGAAGGGTGTTCACTAAAATGTGAGGATCATTACAAAAAAAGATGAATGGCCCGGCTCTGTTCGGCTTGAAAGGGGCATACTGCACTTTCGCTAGTTTTTCTGCTAGATCCTGTTGAATAACACTTCACACTTCAATGAGACTTGTAGACTCTCGTCAACCGCAAGGCTACTAGCCAGTTCCACAGGAATTTACAGGCCGACAAGAGGCATCGTCAGTGTTTGACGGGAACAAGCAAGATGCCCCCACTAAGTCGAACTGCGCCTGTTTAGTTACTCACCAAAAGCGTGGACCATCACATCGTTCACTGTTACTCCGCCACTGGACGTCTCCAGAAGGAAGCGTTTCGCCTGGAAATCAAAGCGTTTCGTAAATTGTCTGCAGTCCTGCAGTATCTAGCTAGTCCAGCTTACCTTTTCGGGATTCTTAGTGAAGAGGTAGGCACCGAGGGGCTTTTCGTTATCCCTGACCCATTCGATAGCTTCGTCGAATGATTTCACGGTCACAATCGGCAAAAGGGGTCCGAAGATCTGAAATTCGCTTGGGTCAACACTGGGCCCTTTTCATAAGCTTGGAGAATATAAAATGTCACGACATGGGAGATACCTCTTCTTGCATAAGAACGTCATCCTTTTCAATTTCGATCACATGTGGTGGAAGGAACCTCTCGTTCCTGCAGGGTTCTTCGTTGGATTTGTAGACAATTTTACCCTTGGTGTTCTTGATCAAAGACGAAAGTCGACTGAAAACACTCGTTTTTTTATACAATCACTCAATCATCAGGATAACCTTCCCTGGGCCGATGTGAGGCAGAGTAGGGGGAAGCTGAATTCCACAGAATTAATTGCTACTGATTATCATTGAAGTGCCATATCGGGGCTGTCAGCGGAGCGAACAGGTTTTGAAGGGACACAGTTTGTTTCGCTACTGGTCGATGTGGCTATTGAGGCCGCTGGAAACGATGCTGGCGCCGCTCTAACAAGGGAGGTCGTTCAAGGGGGCGTGGTGACGCTTTGCGAAAAACGGGTTCTTTGACATATTGGTAGGGGCTCATGCAGGGACGCTGAAAAGGTGTGCGATTCCATTCTTGCTGTGGCGCCATCGCAGGAAGCGGGTAAAAAACGAGTGAAAAGAAATCTGTGGAATCTGCTTCGTTCTGGGCCTCTATGCGGCGTAGGTCACTTGCAACTTTGACCAGTTGCTGAGTGGGGGGTCCTTATAAAGGGGCCGTTTGAATCGAAGCGAAAAATCGCCGTAAGTGAGCTTCCAACTTGGGTCATGTGCTCAAGGGTGAACGGCTTCTTGCAATGGTTTCATCAACGATAAGAGCGCGAGCATAGCCGAGCACCGGATGGCCTAGCGGATAGAGTGGAGGTTTCGCAATCGGACAGTGGGGGTGGGGTTGATGGTTCGGCTCCCCTTGCGTCGTGGCTTTTTGCATTTTTTAGATTTCGCTGTTCTCGCTTCCATTTCTGTCTGCGCATGAATATAACTCGGATATTTTCTATTTATAGGCAAGATTCTGACGTAGTGCTAGTACCATCATGAGTACAGTTGGCTATTAAAAGTATTTCCGATTTCAACGCACCATATGAACCAAGAGTTGTTGCTGGACGTTGTTCCTCATAGGCTGTACAATGGATCTGATTGCGAATTTAGTAACTTCTGGTGTGGTGACAATTATAGACAATTTGGGGCCCACATCTCCGATTTCCAGGCTATGTCGTTTATGTACACAATATAGGGAAAACGTTTCACTCGCTATATTTCTGTCGCCCAAATTCGTGGACGGCCAAGAATTAGGTGTTACATTTTGTGGATAAGAGGCCACTTATTAACCAAAGCAAAAAACGAAATCTTCTCACGTTTTGACCTTCTTGGGTTTGCTTATTGGGTTGTCCGGTGTCCGTAGCGTCAACGATACGCATCGCTGTTACGAAGATGTGAAGCTCCGCTCACACTGCCGACCAAATGGTCGGCCCAACAACCCGAAAAGTCAGAAAAACAATTTTTGCGCATAGGTCAAAACTCTGGCTCAGTAGGGTAATACGCAGTCCGCGATCACGATTCTAGACTTTATTTTCGGTTCCAGTGCCATCTGGCACCGGCATAGTGCCGAAGAGCTGAGTCTGTGCATATTAACGAATTCGAACGAAAAAGCAGTTTTGCTCCATAAAAATAGGATTGTTCAGTTCATCGTGAATGTTTTTATTAGGAGCAATTATTTAGACAAACATGGATCCAAAAAATGAAAAATTGTAGAAAAGCAAAATTTTGTCCTCGGTGGGATCCGAACCATCGACCTATTTTTTACGTTTTTTTTTATTCGTAGAAGCGCGCAGCGAAAACGAACCTCAGTTTTCTGGTCCTCGTATGTGCCCTACAATATGCACAAGACCATTTTGAAAAAGCTCACCACGCC